ATCGGGCGACGAAAACTGGATCTCGGTTCGGAGGCGCCTCAGATCCGAAAAACAAGGAAAATCAACTCCTTGAGTGTGGTTCAGTTCCCTCACCTCCAGTCCCCACTGCGTCCCGAAGTACGAGGAGCCTTCGCACTCCTGCATGCATCGCTGTGTGCGGATTTGGTTTGGCGTCAACAGATCAGGGAGGCGAAGAATAGTAGCACCGCAAAAGACAACACAGTACGCGTCGTCGTGAAAGAAGGCATAACGCGAGGGTAGGGGAGATTAGTCTCTGTCAAACAATACACCTGTGAACCATCCACAGCGGTGGTTCAACGGCGAAATCAGTGCTTCGGCTGTGCTCGATCCGCCCTCTTGCCTTTATCGCACTTCCCCTCCCTGGAACAAGAATGGCGTACGATATTCCTACGATTTCACAGCCACTGTAGGTGTGCCAGCGTACTTCAGTGCTTCGGAAGGGCCAGGGTTCTAACTTCTATTCAGGGTTCAAGATTTCTCAGATAAGTACACGGCCGAATCCTGTTATGCTGTGCAAGTTGTGAACGGGACTGTCACTTTCCACCCCCAGCAGCGAGCACCATTTATCGCGTGCATCTTCAAAAAAAAAAAACGGCCGTGTTCGGTGTACAGCAGTAGATTGCTGGACCATCGGTAATATAAAGCTGGGGCTGTACCCTAGAGGCTAAACACACCTTACAAGACTAAATGTATCGTAGAAATGACTGGTACAACCCTGGTTGTGTCGACACCCTGGCAGAGGGTTCCTGCCTGTGGACCCTGTGGGGACCGATTACCTAGACAGGTGGTCACAGCGTCCGTACAGGCTTTATTTGCCTGCAGGGTTCACACAGGTAGCCGAATGGCTACAGAGATCTCTAGTCTAGAATGGTAAAAAAAATTAAGCCTGCTCCGAGTATCAATCTGTTCGGCACTCGGCACCATCGGTGTCCTTGTAGCGCTAACGCTTGAACCGAGGAGCGAAATGTATCAAAACGCTGAAACAACGATCCCCGGTGTTGGAAGAATAAGTTAAGTGTTGTTTGCATACATACAGGGTGATCTGACATAAGGTGTCCTGGAAAATTGAAAGTAGGTAGCGGATGAACGAAGGTGATGTAGATGCGGACTATTTGATAAAGGCTGACCATTTGACTACGTGCACAGTCATCATTAGTGCTTTTTTTATTGAAAAGTTTCTTAAAATTATTAATATTAATATTATTATTGCCTTTTATTACCTTTTGATACAAATCCCTTTATTATAATAATGTAACGTAAAGTGAAAGATTTTTCATTCACCCTAAGGCAATTTAAAGTTATTCAAACAATAAAAACTGAAGGAATTGTAAAAATTACAGCAATACACTTAAAGTTATCCCAACCAGCCGTTAGCTTACAGCTTAAACAATTACAACAAAATATTTATTCCAAAATTTTAATACGAAAGAAAAATGAAATTTATTTTACTCCAGAAGGAGAATTAGTTTTAGATTATGCTAATAAGGTTTTAAGATTATGCGAAGAAGCTGATAAAGTCATCCGATGACTGTGCACGTAGTCAAATGGTCATTGACTGTGCACGTAGTCAAATGGTCAGCCTTTATCGAATAAAAGATACACTCTCGGCTCGTAGCCAATCCCAGTGGATCTGATAGGGTGTAGTGATCTGGGGACGGACCCCTCGCCACAAGATGCTGCTATTATTAGCCGATAATGATGGTGCCTTTAAAGCGATCAACTGGGATTCGAACCCGTGCGTGAATCGTTTATTACCAAGTGTTAATTTTTGTAGTCAGCGCTGACTTCGTAGTCTAATGGGGTAAGCCTTTACTAACAAGTAGTACACGCACGGGTTCGAATCCCAGTGGATCGCTTTCATGGCACCATTATCGGCTAATAGCAGCATCTTGTGGCGAGGGGTCCGTCCCCGGACATCACTACATACACCCTATCAGATCCACTGGGATTGGCTACGAGCTGAGAGTGTATCTTTTATTTGATAAAGGCTGACCATTTGACTACGTGCACAGTCNAAAAATGAAATTTATTTTACTCCAGAAGGAGAATTAGTTTTAGATTATGCTAATAATAAGGTTTTAAGATTATGCGAAGAAGCTGATAAAGTCATCCGATGACTGTGCACGTAGTCAAATGGTCATTGACTGTGCACGTAGTCAAATGGTCAGCCTTTATCGAATACGGACCGCTATTATTCAGTCTGCAGTGCTGCATTCACTGGGTGGATGTGCTGTGACGCACACGTGTGCAACGTGTGGTGGATTTTTACTTCCGCCGCACAACGTAAGTAAAAAAGCGAACTAACTTTTGTCGTCACCCCACCATGTCATTTTGCGACCAAACGACGTGTACTAGCTATCTGTCGTCTCAATCAAGTGATTTACCCGTTGAGAAACTCAGTTATCGCTGGCGGGAAGTGCGAACATTTTCACGACATTGATTGTTGGATTGCAATCCCCTGTAATGTACCAGTGGTATAGTCTATGTAGTCTGTTTGCGGCCTACGCCACTTATTTATCGGGTGAGACTGCTTTGGTGATGTATTAGCTTCACGAGAGGTCGACGACCGTCCTCCACACGGACGAAAGAGGAAGTACTCAAAGATCGGTTCCCACAGCAAGGAGGGGCCCCGTGAATCATCACCATGCCCCCTACCAAACAGCAATCTTACCACTCTGCGTGACCCCAAATCATCCAGCACATGTCTCCAACACCAATGTTCGCAGACCCACGAACACCCGCCCTGGTTCTTCATGCAAGTGACTAACCATCAATGGGGCAAGAACGCCCCTGGATACATGAGAAAATACTTTACTTGGACAGTTGTTTCCACAGCCCATTTCTCCATACGGTGTCGTATGCCTTTTGCACGTCCAGGAAGAAGCAGGACGTCGGCTTTCCCGCCCTCTTCCTACCTTGGATGATTCTTCCTACCGTGAATACGTGGTCTACGCACCCCCTCTTCTTTCGGAAACCTGCCTGGCCCTCACTAATGCTGTGTTCGTTCTCCAATACTCCCACTATCCTATCGTTCAGCAGCTTACAGAACACTTTTCCTACTGTGTTCAACAGTGTGACCCCCCTGTAGTTTCCTGGGTCAGTCTTGTCTCCTTTCTTAAACAAGTTCACAACCACTCCTTCCCTCCATGTACTTGGCGCATACTCGTTTTTCCACACCCAATAGTACAGCAGTATAACATCAGCTGGATCATCCCCTTCCCCCGAAACTTCATGAACTCGTTGACTATGGGCCGTTGACTATCCCATCCGTTCCTGCTGCTTTGTGGCACTGCAGCTTGTAAACACACTCCTCAATTGACAACCTCGTCCTCAGCGAACTCCTTTTCTAGTTTTACGTTCCCAACGTCTGCCTTCGATGTCTCTTCTTCTTTCTGGGCTCACGCGTCCACCTCCTTCTTAAACACTTGGTCAAAAGCTTCATTCTCCGAGGGCACTCCAAGTCTCTTGTAGTGTCCTGCTAGAACTTCCCTTTTTCCCTTCCCACTGCTGACTAATCCACCGTTCACACCTCGCAAAGTTGCGACCCCTGTATCCCCCCCTTGCGCGGTCTTTTTTACCATTCCANTTGTATCCCCCCCTTGCACTGTCGTTTTTACCATTCCACTAGATTAGACTAATCCCTTCCCACATCTGCTTGACGTTCCCCTCCAGGCCTCTGTTAGCCTTCTGCACTACTTCGTCCCAAATGCACTTATTCTTTTTCACTAGTAGTCCCTTCAACTGTTTTCTTTTGGCCCTGTACTTTTCCCAACTCTCCTCAGACGCCTCACTCAGGTACTGCTTGAAGACTTCTCTACGTTCCCCTATATCTTCTTTCAGCTCGTCATCCCACCACTTAATTAACCGATACCCCACATCGTACCACCTTCCCACTACTCTCTCTGCCGTTGCGTTCACGATGGACTCCCACCCTTCAATCACCCTGTCCCCTGCTGTCTGTACGTCTACCTGTCCGTCTTCGA